GGGCCATCATCCCTGTCAAATAATACCATGCGGGACACATTCGTTTTTTCTTCGCGCGCGCACGCCGTCGTCGTCGGCCGCGGGGCCCTGAATAGTAGCCACGGTCGTCCGCATGCCACGAAGTGAAGTGTCCGAACGTCATAGGGCGGGAAGCTGGGTGTGGGTGGTGGCGAAGAGTCGTTTGGAAATTTGGTAGAGCTTGAACCGGCCCCCCCACAAAGTGGGGGTATTGCCCGCCTCCTATGAAAACCCTGGCACTGGTGAGAACGGAGTGTCCCCACGTGCTAGTAATTGTTGTTGTTGTTGTTGTTGTTGTTGTGTGCTGTTGTTGTTGTTGTTGTTGTTGTTGTTGTTGCTGTTGTTGTTGTTGTTGTTGTTTGTTGTTTGTTGTTTGTTGTTTGTTGTTTGTTGTTTGTTGTTTGTTGTTTGTTGTTTGTTGTTTGTTGTTGTCGTCGTCCCGCCCGCGACCCACCCCGCGACCCACCCGCAAACCACCCCGCGACCCACCCGCGACCCACCCCGCGACCCACCCGCGACCCACCACGCGACCCACCCGTGACCCACCCGCGACCCACCCGCGACCCACCCCGCGACCCACCCGCGACCCACCCCGAGATCCCCCCGGCGACCCACCCGCGACCCACCGGCGACCCACCCGCGACCCACCCCGCGACCCACCCGCGACCCACCCGCGACCCACCCGCGACCCACCCGCGACCCACCCCGCGACCCACCCAAAATTTTCGGCGCTTGCGGCGGGTTTCTCATTGCATTCGTTCGAGGTGGAGAACCTGCGACCCACCCGCGACCCAAACCGCGTTCAGTGTACAAATCAAAATGTTCTGCGCCTGCGGCGGGCTGTTTTTGAATTCCTTCCAGGTGGAGGTGCAGAGCCCGCGACCCAAACTACGTTCACTGAACAAGCCAAAACTTCGGCGCATGCGGCGGGTTTCTTCTGCATTCGTTCGAGGTGGAGAACCTGCGACCCAAACCGCGGTCAGTGTGCAAATCAAAATTTTCGGCGCCTGCGGCGGGCTGTTTTTCAATTCCTTCCAGGTGGAGGTGGAGAGCCCGCGACACACCCGCGACCCAAACTACGTTCACTGAACAAGCCAAACATTCGGCTCCTGCGGCGGGCTGTTTTTGCATGCGTTCCGGGTGGCCCACCAGCTATCCCCCCCGCGCTGAATTTGTCAGAGCATGCAAATTACGAGGAAAAGGAGGAGGAGGAGGAGCAGGAGGAGAAGGAGCAGGAGGAGGAGGGCGCCATCGACAGGGAAGGTGAAGGCCACGAGGTCCGCCGGCTCGACGCCCGCGTCGCCCGCGCCCGCCCCCTCATTTTTATCCGCAATTGCGAGGTGCTACGTAATCATCATCGTCATCAGCATCAGCATCATCAGCAGCAGCACCAGCATCATCATCAGCATCAGCATCATCAGCAGCAGCACCATCACCATCATCATCCGCATCTTCATCATCCTCATCAGCATCACCACCAGCATCATCAGTATCGTCACCATCGTCATCATCATTTTCATCATCATCAGAATCATCGTCATGCTCATCATCATCAGCAGCAGCAGCAGCATCATCACCATCATTACCATCCTCCTCCTTCTCCTCCTCATTATCCTCCTCATCCCCCTTCTCCGCCTTCTCCTCCTTCTCCGTCTCATCATTCAAGGCATCCTCCCCCCCACGTGTCATCTTTTCTTTTTTATTTCTTGCCCTACTACCACCCCTTCTGTTCCTCCTCGTCTCCCTACCCCACCCTCCCCGCACTCTGATGCCATGCCACCAGTTCCCGAATCATCATGGATTACTCGAAGGTTCCCTTCCCGTCCTCCCTTGGACTGGTGTGGATGTCGCTCATCGAGCAGGCCCACCCGATCGGATAGCCCATCGGTTACGGCAGGTTCGCGCCGCGTTGACGGGGCGGCAAGGCCAGTTCGGGCATTTGAGCTGGAACCCAGCCAAAGGCCCAGAATCGGTCGACATCGACAGATCGGCGATGTCCGAAAGCCGCGATCGTCTAAAGTTGAGCGATCCACGCGGTGTCAGACAGCGGGGAGCCCGTCTGGTTGTTGCCCCTCCTCCTGCTCCTCCTCATCCTCCTCCTCCTCCTCCTCCTCCTCCTCCTCTTCCTGCTCTTGCTCCTCCTCCTCCTCCTCCTCCTCCTCCTCCTCCTCCTCCTCCTCCTTCTCCTTCTCCTCCTCCTCCTTTCTCCTCGTCCTCCCCCTCTTCCTTCTCCTCCTCTTCCTTCTCCTCCTCCTTCTCCTCCTCCTCCTCTCCACGACCTCCCCTCCTCCCCCTCGTCATTATCCTTCACTCCTCCTCCTCCTCCTCCTCCTCCTCCTCCTCCTCCTCCTCCTCCGCCTCCTCCTCCCGCTCCTCCTCTTCCTCCTCCCCCTCCTCCCCCTCCTCCTGCCTCCTCCTCCTCCTCCTCCTCCTCCTCCTCCTCCTCCTCCTCCTCCTCCTCCGCTCCCGCTGCAAGCCCCAGGGCGTGGAGCTGGCCAGCATGCAGGCCCCCGTCATGGTTCGGGCGCGCCGGGGCGGAGCATCCAGCGCAGCGAGGAGGAGAGGAGGAGAGGAGGAGGAGGACCAGGAGGACGATGAGGAGGAGGAGGAGAGGAGGAGGAGGAGCGGAAACAAGGGGAGGGGAGAGAGAGGGACGGAGTGAGGAGGGAGGAGGAGGAGGACGAGGGGGAGGAGGAGGGGAGAGGAGGAGGAAGGAGGAGGAGGAGGAGGAGGAGGGGAGGAGGAGGAGGAACAGCAGCAGCAGGAGGGGGGGGGAGGAGGAGCAGAGAGGAGGAGGGAGGAGGAGGAGGAGGGGGAGGAGGAGGATCCAGAAGGATGCGACGAGACAGGAGAAGGGGAGAGAAAGGGAGGATCTGCACAGATGCACAGGGAGGGGGATGGCAAAGCCGCGGCAGAAGAGGGAACGGGCGGAGGAGGAGGAGGAGGAGGAGGAGGAGGAGGAGGAGGAAGGGGAGGAAAGAAACAGACGACGACGACGACGAGTTCGACGACGAGTTCGACGAAGACGACGACGACCACGATCACGACCACGACCACGACCACGACCACGACGACGACCACAACGGGGAGCAGCCGCAGCGGAAGCAAAGCGAGAGGAGCAGCAGCAGCAGAAGTAGGGGGTGAAGAGGGTGTGAGGAGCATGAGAACGAAGGGGGGGGAGAAACAGATGAGGGAGGCGGAGTAGGAGGAGGAACAGAAGGAAGAGGAGGAGGAGGAGGAGGAAGAGTAGAATGAGGTGGAGCCACAGCAGCAGAAGTAGTCGCAGCGGCAGCGGCGGCAATCGAAGCAGAAGCAGGAGGGAGAAAGGGAGGAAAAGGAGGATAAAGAACATGAGGAGCGGTTGAAGAGGCTGGGCGGTGAAGAGAAGGGGAATGGAGGAGGATGATGAAGAGGAGGAGGAGGAGGCGGGAAGAAAGGGGAGAGCGAGGAGAAGGGGGAGGGAACGGCGAGGGCGAGAGGAGGGAGGAGAGGGGATAGTGAAAAGATGGGCGGCGAGATGGGGCCCCCGGATGGGGAGGCGGAGAAGGAGAAGGAGGAGGAGGAGGAGTGCAAGACCAAGTCTCATCAGCGAGTGTGCCATAAGCCCTCCTTCCAAGCTCCTTTTCCATAGGCCCCATACAATGATTCATTTCCTCTGGGAGATGTACCCCGTCGGCAGACAACCGTGTGAATATCCTGCGCCGTGCCAGGGCACCACTCCTGGGATGTCAACGCCACGAATCAATGTTGCTGCTGCGCCTTGACGGTCCTGGATCGTGCCAGAAGACCATTCCCAGGACTTCAACACCGCGAACCAACGTCAGCGCTGCGCCTTGACAGTCCGACATCGCTCCAAAACACCATTCCTGGGACACTAGCCATGAGAATCCGTAAAACTGCTGCAAACTCTGAACGCGAATGTGCGCGACACTATTGCGAGAGCCACAGTATGAAAAGCAGCCGCCCTCCATCTGTGAAGCTGCTGCATATGTTTAAGACGAGTGCCCGCGGCGCTACGGTGAGAACCTCAGTTTGACAGCGGATCGCCCTCCACCCATGAAAATATTGCAAATGTTTAAGACGAGTGTGCGCGGCGCTGGCAAGGGCTTCATTTTGACAGCGATCCGCACTTCATGCGTGAAACTGGTGCGAATGTCAAGTTTAAGAGTTATATACGGTGAGGAAATCGCAGGCGAAACGCCCAGCCCGCCCTACTGACACGTCTCAGGGTGCAACAGGGAGGTGTTAGTTATAAAGAGAAGGAATGGAGGAAGCGGGGAAAGGCAGGAGAAGGATGGGGAGGAAAATGGGAAGGAAGCGAGGGAGGAGGAGAGGGAGGAGGAGGAGGAGAAGGGAGAGGGAGGGAGAGGAGGAGGAGGAGGAGGAGGAGGAAGAGAAGGAGGAGGAGGAGGAGGAGGAGGAGGAGCAGGAGAGGAAGAGGAGGGAGGGAGGAGGAGCAGGAGGAGGAGGAGGAGGAAGAGAAAGACAAGAAGGCGGGGGCAGGAGGAGGCAAAGGAAGAGGAGAAGCAGCAGGAGAAGGGGCAAGAGGAACAGGGGGAGGCGGAGGAGCAGAAGGAGGAGGAGGAGGAGGAGGAGGAGCGGGGAAAAGGAGCAGAAAGAGGTTGAAGAAGTTGTTTCGGAAGGTAGCGCGGCAACAATGATCGCTGCCGTGTCGCGAGATATCATTCGTCGGTCGCGGTAGTATCGACGTGTAGCTTTGATGGAGTTTTGTCCCGACCTCCCCTTTTGAACGTCCCGTGCCGTGGTGCGTTCCAATGTGCGCGTAGACAGAACCCTCATCCCAATCTTCCTTCGCCATCCTCTTTCTCGGCTTCCCTCTCCCCTTCAGAATGTCCTCCACCCGGTAATTATCATCATCGTCCTCTTCCGCCGTGTCCCCAGTCCCCTTCCTTCCGAGAGGTTGCATTCCTCCTCTTCATCCTCCTCCTCCTCCTCCTCCTCCTCGTCCTCGTCCTCCTCCTCCTCGTCCTCCTCCTCCTCCTCCTCCTCCTCCTCCTCCTCCTCCTCCTCCTCGTTCCCCTCCATAGGTGGCTTCGCTGCCGACGCCGCAGCCGTTTGCCTTGGGACGCGGAGGCCCGCCTGCGCTTGTCCCCAGCGCCACGGCCCGTGCGCGCTCCCCTGGTCGGCACCGCCGACTGCGGCGGCGGCGCTCTGCTGCGCGGGAGCGCTTGCGCCGTGAGCGCGACGCGCTGATCTTCGAGCGCCACCACGGCAGCCGCCCCCCCCCAGATGGGTTGGCGGCGCAGTCCGCCTTTGCGTGGCGTTGCTAGTGGCGGTGTTCGGCAGTGGTTCCCCGGCAGGACACAAACTGCTAAGTCGAAGGGCACGTCTGACAACGTCTTCTTCACCATGTGGACACTGGGAGTTCACGAAGTGGGGGAGCAAGCGTTGTAGCAAGTGCCAGAGCCCCTACCTCGAAGCCGCCAAGCTTCAGCAGTCTGCAGCACCCGCGGCTCAGGCTAAGGACCAGGGCGCTGACATGCCCGCCGAGCGCGCCGAGCTGGTGGCACAGCTCCGCTGTTGGTCAGCATGCTTCCCCGCATTGGCGGGAGGTGTGCAGAAGGTGGTGTCAGCGCTTGCACCCCCAGTCGCCGTGGACCTGTCTCCCATGGAACTACATCGGATGGTGTCGGCGCAGCAGACGGAGTTGACTAAACTATGTGTGAGTGCAGCCAATGTTGAGAAGTTGTCTTATCAGGATGCCAATGGAAGTTGGACTGTCCGAGCTTGTTCGCCGAGCACGAGACCGCCTACAACGACGCGACTGCCGAGCTGCAGCGGGTCACCAGGTCCAGGGATGTTGCAGATCAGGCCAAGAACACGTTCGATCCGAATGCCTCCAAGTTTCAGAAACAGCAGGAGGCGGCGGCCCAGCGCGCAGCCGTCGAGGAGGCCGCCCGCGCGGCGCGCGCCCAGCTCCAGGCTGCGGCCCCCGCGCCGCCCGCAGACGCCGCGCCGGGGCCTCCGGCGGCCTCGGTGGGCGGCCCCCCCCCTGCTGAAGGTGCAATTGCTGGTCATGGCGGCGCTGGTCGCCCTGGTGCTTACGACGCTCGCGATGCACCTCCTCGCCCTCAGTTCCCGCCGAACATCCATTGCTGCATCACCAACCACGCCATCGACTACAACTACCTGGAGTCGGACATGCACAAGGGCGAGGGTAGTCAGCTGTAGTCGCTGATATCGCGCATTACAGTTTCCTGGGACCAGTGGAAGAAGTTCCGCGCCCATGCCCAGCGCCGTGAGCAGGCCAAGCTCAGAGGTGCCGTGACCAGCGCCGTGAGCAGGGTTCGACGCAGCCAAAGCTCAGAGGTGCCAGACCCTGCCCACGACCATGGCGGAGAGTAGGCTTGCTAAGCGCGGTCGCCGCCCTGCGGCCCAGTCACATGAGATGCCCCGCGCCTTTTGCGCCGCTGCGCCACAGCGCCCGGCGCCAGGCGCCGCGGCCAGCAGCGGTCAGTAGCGGCTTAACCAGGACCGGGCCCCAAGGGGGGCGACGGATGCACGTGCACGCGTCTCTTCTACATGTGTAAATGTCTCTCGGTGGCCCAAGTTGGCCACGGACTTCTTAGCCACTAAGGTAGCTGAGGTTGATGGAGTTCCCATGGCCGAACACGACCTCCGCGGCGATGCCGATCTCTTCCGCGCGAAGAAGCCACGCAGACAACAGCGTCGGTCACCCTATTTCCAGTGCGTTGTGAGGCCTCGCCTGGAGGCGCACATGGCGGAGTCTGCTCCGCAGTTCAGCCTGGGCCCTGCGTTCGGAAGTTCGGAAGTGTTTGATCCAGGTTAACAAAGTTGTCCAGGTGGGCGCAGGGACCCATTGTCTTTCTTGGACATGAGATGCGGTTCATGCGCTGTCGCCGTGGGAGTGCTATATTGTAGTGGCCTTCGGCCAGTGCCGCCGATCCGGGTCGCTCGGTGTTATTCTCCAGACGCAGACATTCTGGGCGCACACTCAAACGCACAAACTTCTCGGGTTACCTTCGACATGGCGTAGGAATGCAGTTGGGTCAATAGAGCCATCTCGCAACAAAGGTTCTATCAACGGCGGGGTGCTTGCAGTGACCGTGGGGACGGGAAATTATAATGACATGAAAATTCCAAACAGGATGCCGATCACTTTGGAAACTCACGATACGTCGTGCACGGAGTCGTGTTACGAAACATGTGGCCTGGACGATGTGGTGCGAGCGGTGGAGGCGAGCCTATCGGCGCAAGGACGCCCTCTTGGGGCGTTTTTTGAGCCATCTTAGGAGCCTGTCAGGGCGTCGCGGGGGCTTCTTGGGGGCTTTCGGAGGCCCTCTTGGAGGCTCTTGGGGCCTCCTGGGGGCCTCGTGGGCTGGAAGGCTAGATTTTTCCTGCTTTTCGTCCCTCTTTTGGGTCCTCTTGGGGCCGTCTTGGGAGCCTGTTGGGCCGTCTTGGGCGGCTCTTGGGCCGCCTTGGGGCCCTCTTGGGCCATCTTGGGACTGTCTGGGGGCCTCCTGGGCCGTCTTCGAG